TTCAATAAGTTTATCATTTATAAATTTTAACTACAAATGATAAAACATCCTTATTACAACAACAAAAAGTGAAAAAAATATATAACAGCAACTAGCCAACTATATATGTGCATGCATATATTGTCTTACAATCTTAAACAAAATGTTCATACTTTTTTTTTTTTTTTGAAAATAAAATGTTCATACTTCAAGAAAACATAGAAACAAACTCATCGATGCTCTTATCAGAACTACCTCCTTCAGAAATAGCTTCTCGAGCAAACACTTTCCATTTCTCAGCATTTTTTCTAATCTCTTTCCCTTTCACTCCTTCCATAACTTCTTTCACACATCTCACAATCTCCTCTCTTCTCACAATCCCATCATCACCTTCTGTCCTAACCCTAACCCCAACCTTCCATACATCCTCCACGAACTTAGCATTCGTTGGCTGATCCGTCCAATGAGGCATACCAATCATTGGAACTCCCAAACTCAATCCTTCTAACGTCGAATTCCATCCACAATGCGTCAAGAAACAACCAACCGATTTATGTGCAAGAACTTCAAGCTGAGGACTCCAGCTCACAATCAGTCCTTTCTCGCCAATTTCTTCTACGTAGTTTCTTGGAATTTTGTCTTTCTCTGTCTCTCTCACGACCCACAAGAAGTTACATCCGGTCTCTTTTAGAGCTTCTGCGAGTTCCATCATTTGATCTTCCTTATGAATCACTAAACTTCCGAATGATATATAGACAACTGAATTAGGTTGCTTTGAGTTTAGCCACTCGATGCATTCAGCGACTTTGGCATCAAAGAGGCTGAAACCGTAGTTTTTGTCTTCGGTGAGTCGCTTGTCTAAATACATCGATGGAACAGTTGGTCCTATGTTCAAGACTGGCCACAAGCTTTGGACCCATTTCAACAACTGGAAAAAAAAAAGACAAATTACTAACCACAATCACACAGATAAATATGATAACCTCAAAGATATTTTGATGTATGTCTTAATTTTAAGAACAAGTTAGATATATAGTTTCTGCGTGGAATAAAATTTCATATAGTATAGTTTTAAAAAGTATTATTTTGGATAATTTCCTCAAAAGGCAGAGACATGTTCCTATATGGATATATTTTCGTTACCTTTTCCTCTAATACATCGAAGGTGTTGCACAACACAATGTCTACTCGATCAATGTTTGAAAGCTGATCGATCACAATCCTTAGGATATTCGGGTAAGAGGACGATTCGCAGAGGAAAGACGGCAAATCATTCGAATTCAGCATAGGAAACGAAGGGAACGATGCTAACGTCGAGTGGCCATACTTCGTAGACGGTATGGAGAAGGAGCCCTTGATAACATGGTAGTAAATAGCTGTGACAAGCCAAGGTTGCGTGAAAAACACGGCACCTTTCAAACCATGACCATGAGCTAAATCAAGAAGCCATGGCATGGTTGAGTCGTACACGAGTGCCCTAGGGTGATTTCCCGAGAGTTTCATGTCTTGTATCAACTCCGGTAAGCGGTTCTTGATGCTGGTTTCTACTCTGTCCATGTAATCATCGAGGTCTTGTAATGGATCCTCGCCTTCTTGGAATCCATTGGAGATGGGGAAGACAGTGATTGAGTCGTGCTCTGTTTTGTATGGAGGAGTTGGTTTGGCGGTGACGAGGACAAGAGTGAGCTTAAGACCCTTTGAAGCTAAACGTTTGCAGAATTGAAACATTGGAGTTATGTGGCCTTGCCCTGGGAAAGGCAAGACAATAACATGAGATTCTTCTTCATTTCTTGTAAAATCTCTCA